TGCAGCCTGTGCGCGCGATTTTAGCAAAACTGTGCACGGTTTAGCGTTCGTTCCGTTTCGTTTCTTACGGTTTCGTTTCTTTCGCTTTCGTTTCTTTCGGATTTCAAATCTTTCCGATTTGTACGGTCTCCTTTTGGGTGTCTCCCGAATTCTTACGGTCTCGTAAATGCTAATCTGCCGGTATCGTATCGAGACCCGACCTCCTCGAAGCATGTTTCTTTAAAACTGCTGTATTAAAGGAACATGCTCTCAAGAGAAAGGGTCTCGACACGATATCGCCCGATTTGAATTTTTTCCCCTATTTTTCAGATTATTTTCTCAATTTTTCGGTGATTTTTACCGTTTTTTCGCCGATGTTCATTATTTAAATTCATTGTAGCTTGATAACATGAATTTAAATCATAAAAAAGGGAAATTTCTCACCAGCAAAACCCTGTTTTTTCCAGATTATTTTGTCAATTTTTCGATGATTTTTATCGTTTTAATCGATTTTTCATCAGGTTTGCATTGAAAAAACGATGAAAATTTTTGTAAATTTGAGAAATTTTAGGGGTTTATTTATAAAATATCAATTATTTATTCAAAAAATTGGTTAATTCAGGCAACTATCCACCAGACAGCGGCGGTATCACTGCGATTTCTGTAAAACGCTCCAACTCGAATCGATCGCCGGGGTTCGCATATCTGAAATATTTTCCTTTAAATTTCTTTTTTCAATAGAACTCACTCTTGGTCCACTGCTAACATCATCACTTTTTCGATTTTCGACAGTGCCGGGTATTTCTAAAGATTTTTATTTTTTAACCGAATTTTCTAAAATTTTTACTTCTAAAATAATCCTCCTCAGCTCTTCATAGTCAGTTTCAGCCGGAAACTCGACAGTTTCCTCTCGTTTTCCAACCAACTGAAATGCTTCTCCGAAAAACAAGACTTTAACAGAAACCATGTTCTGCAATATTGCATCATTTATACAGAAGAGAGGCAATTTCATAAAAAGTTAAGGATAAGTATAGGTACCGGTAAGTAGAATGATATTTAACAAGTCAGTATTGAGAAAGAAAAGGAGAAGAATAGAGAGAAAAAAAGAGAGGAGGGGGAAAAAGAGAAAGAAAAAGAGATCGTGGCACCATGAAACAACAACAATCAATGATAAAATAGAATACAAAGAAAAGATAAGATAAAAAAGGGGACGGGATAAAACCATTAGAAGAGGGATCTTGTTTTAGTGGTATTTGTCGTTCCTGCGGCACCCGCACCAATCCTCTCTGCAATCGCTGGTTGTCTTTGTTTGATGATTCGGGTGACGTCATCACAGAGAGCCGCACGGCGAAGTCCGCATACTTGCATGGGGGCTCCGTTTCGAGTCAGCTCATTGAGCACATTTTTCATTTTCTTCTCGGATCCTGTAATTTTGATAATATTATTTTAAAGGGGGACTCCGACCAAAAATTTTTATTGCCTTAAAATGTTTAAAAAATATGTAATTTCCTAATATTATTGCGAAAAAATTCAAAGAAAATCCTAAATCCCCGAAAAACGGCGTTGAAAAAAAATAGGATTTGAATTCCCGCGCAGTGAGAAACCTAGGCCACGGCATCATAGCGCCTTTCTGACAGGGAAAATTTTCCGGATTTTTCGGTTTTCATGTCCGGCAAAAAA